ACTACGAACAATTTATTAATAAACATGTTTGTATGCGTGTAACTAAAAGGACACGTTTTTTTTCACCACGAACTCAGTTAATACACTCTGCTTAAGAGTCAACAACAACCAACTACATATTTATCGCATTGAAGCGTTAAAAAAAGCTCACACGGCGTATGAGCAAACAACAAGCCAATCCATCACTGTCAGATAAGAAAAAATTTAGGGATTTGAGTAAACACACAACACATGAGGAAATGTCTTGTAGATTTGAAACAAGTAAAAGGACCAATTAAGTTAAAGGCTGAAGAAATAAAAATACTGCGAGATATCAAAATCGTTAATGCGATGGGCGGCATTGAGCAGTGATGAAACGCTAAGCCAGCAAAGCATATGCCAACTACGGATTTAGCTGCCACAGAATACAATTTACGTTCTACGGTCGAGGGATCTTGAAAAGAAAAGAAATGGAAAGCGTTAACAAGGCTCATCTGTTATGTCCGACCCACGGTGCGTATGAGTAATCTTTTTAACTAGGCTTACTGCAGTATAGAATTGGAAGTTACTCATACGCCCCGATTTCACTTTCAAAACATACAGCTGTATGTACACATCATCGTCTAAAGTTCAAAACAGCGTATCAACAAAATACAAAACCGCGTATGTGGTTCTCTTTTTTATAAAGCAATCGCATTTCTGGCTAGTATATTTCAGGACGAATGGATAAGGATTGAGCCAAGAGCTTGTGTGAGCAAATCCAATTTTTGGCAGCAAATGTCAGTTACGTGGTTTTGCAGAACGACGATATGCGATTTTGTTCTTTAAACAAGCAGCTAATCGCAAAATTTCTCTTCAACATTTCTAGGGTTGACTGATCCAAGCTTAAGATGGACGAATGGATAAGGATTGAGCCAAGAGCTTGTGTGGGCAAATCCAAGCTTGGCGAGGAATTTGGAGCTCTGCCAGAAAATTAAGCCTCCACGATGAATCGTCCGATAACAGACTGAGGCTGATCGACTTCGCCGGGCCCGGAACATGATATCTGTAGTACTAGGTTTTAGCATGAAAAAATCCGTCAAGCTACGTGGCTGTCTCCAGATCGAAAAACGAGAAAACAAATCGATCTGTTGTGATAGATGAAAGACACGCTTCCAGTGTTTTAGATGTACGTACACTCCGAGGGCCAGAAACACGCATCCACCTCTGTGCAGAAAAAAATGTGTGCAAAGAAAGGTAATACACATAAAATTGCTTCAATCACAACGACGCCCAATCTATTTGCCATTTGACTCCCGCAACTGCTCTCTAATGGCACTCTTCAACAAACCGACATACGCGAGCAGTGGAACCACATTTTCAGCTCATTAAGTACCGCTGCAGAAGTGTGCAGTCAGACTTCACCGAGTCCGAAACGACAACGAGTACGGTGAGGAATTTCAAGAAGCTGAAGAAAAAAATATTCCGCCTACAGGGCCACGCTGCGATTGGGCGCAACGCGAGCCATCATGTGGGACCGTTATAAGGAACTGTCCCTCTACAGGAGGCCGAAATATGTGAATGCGAAGAGCCTGAGATGTTGGCTGACAGGAAAAACGGCCAAAAATTATATATGAGAGTTAGGCGACTTACGGAAGGTTGTAAGACCTTCAGGGCGCAACGAATCACGTCAGATATTTTCTACGTGCAATAAATATGTACGATTTTTGCAAGAAAGCTTACTAAGTATTTTGTCCTCTAAAATCACCCTAGACAAGTTTTTTTTTTCTCAAAAGTACACAGATTTGTAGATATGTATGTATGTATATTTTTCGCACCACCTCTTTGGTGTGCTATGCTTTAGTTGGATTTACTTAGCATTAAATTGCGTTGCGCACGTGCTCAGAATGGGAAAAATGCTTTTGCTACGCTGGCATATATCTCGGCATGCTGCAAATCTGTTGCGGATTATGCTTAAGCAGCATTTATTGATTTCAAAATATGTTGCCTGTCACACGTTGCTACACAAAAGTAGAAGAATAAGCGAAGGTACGTTAAGCACGAATTCGTACGAAAATCGAGTGCATTAGAAGTGAGAAGTGAATTTGTCGCTTTACAAAATTGATTATCTTTCTGTTTGCTCGACATTCATTAATTTTTTCAATGTTGCAAACAAAATGTTTTTGCTAAATTTATTTATTTTTGGCTATGCTTGCATAAAAGTAGAAATTTAATTTTGCTGCCTTCTTTGTTGATAAATGCAAATCTTATAACACTTGGAATCGTGTGTTTTTTTTTGTTTCATTTATTTATTTTTTCCTCTTTAGCAAACAAATTTGTGACAATATTCAAGCTAGACTGCCACTGGGCAATAAACGTAATGTGCTGCTGGCCGTCCATCTTTATGACGCAAGCAATCTGTACCGCCCAAAATGGTCTCAAAGCAGATGTAAAGGACTGCTATAATTAACACAAGGACAATCCGCAAGATGGCCATGTAAAAACAAAACAAAAAAAAACTAAATCAACGGAAAGCATAATGGTCCAACAGTTCTGTCGACCTAAATATGGAAACGCATAACTACGAAAACAAACTGCAATCGCAAAGAGGTCATCAGTATTAACGTTTAGCTGGTGGCATATACTGTTTACTGTGTAAGTAAATTTTAGTAGCCTCATTCATGACTTGTGCGTGATCGCTGAGCTTATGGGCTGTACGTCCCTTGTTGGCACTTTCGTAGTGGTGAATATACTTACTCGTATTACATTACTTTCCAACGGGCAGCTTGACTTAGGTAATAAGGTATAGAGATACTATGCGCATAAGTAGTTATCTATATACGTGTGTGTATATCTAACTAAGTAGACACATAAGGGAGTAATTTGTATGCTTTTATATACGAAATTCACATTTGGTACGCCATTAAGGAAATAAAATCTAATTAATGCGTACTGTAAAAACAATAATCATAGTAAAAGCTAAAGTTAGTACAGTGGGCGTTTCTGTCAGATGCTTAAATTTTTTAGTTGCTACTATAAAAATTCTTGCTTTATTTGGGTTGGTCAAAATCTGGGGGACTCACAAAAATATTTTTAAACTGATCGCAAAGAAATACACTTACATACATACATACATATTTACATACTAGCTATTGCACATGTCACGAATATTATTTTTAGTGTCACACCCTTTCCTTTCCAAAAAACCAAAAGGCTAACGCATTCTTTACACATTTATTTCAATCAGTGGAGTTCCAGAAACAAGTGCAATAAAGAACAAATCAAGTCTTTGAACAATTATAGCCTTTAAACGTTTATTTAGGCAAAAAAGTACCGAAATTGTTACTCGAAAAAATCATAATGGGTGTTTTAATAACTTTGGGAAGTTTTCAAATAAAATGTTCATATTAGAAGCAATGGACATTGGCGCCAAATACAGCAGATCTGTAAAGTTTCAAGAGTGTGCCATTAAATTTAAAAAAAAAAACTTTATATTTGAAATTTTACGATTTTTTTTTTAATTTTAATAATTTATGATCCTTCAAAATGTTATAATTAAACGATGAAAATGCTCTTCTTGCCAAAAGAACGAATCTAGTGTAATAAAACTAGTGTGCTACCAAATAAGAGAAATTACATTGAGTCAAAGATGAGAGAAACTAAAATTCCATTTTTACAATTTTTATTAGTACACTTGAAATTCATTTTAAAAATGTTATATACATGACAAAAGTAATACATATTAATATTACCCATATGCATAAGGAATACTGTGTAGAAACTTTCCACGCCAATATTTAATAATGTACTTTTAAATTATATGACTTTTAAATTAAGGCGCGCGAAGGCTGGCTACTTACGGAGCATATACGTTGCATATACAACTACGGGTATATGAGCGAGTTGTTATTTTGACTTTTTATAACCGAGCGCACTTGTCCGTCTGCCCATCCGCGAACACGATACATCCCCAAAACCCATTAGCACATGTAATTGAGGAAATATAAATTTTTCGAAAACGGTAGTGTCATCACTTTCCGTAAATAGGGAGAAGTTAATCACATCAGGAAAGGTGGGGCCAAAACTATATATTTATTTGGATAAGCTAAATAAAGCTTTAAATTCTAATGAAGGCGTCTCTGGTAAAAACCCATGTTAAAGAATTTCTTCAAATTATAGAAAATAATAACGGACCCCTACACTTGTCGGATGCCAACGAATTTTGGTTTCCACTTTTATAACTTAAAATTAAACAAAAAAAAAATTAAAATACATATGGGGCGTTCTTTGTCAGAAAAGCCACCCCCTCCCCCCCTGCACACTTTACTTTTGAGATAAATTAATGATTTTGGGCTTAAATTTTTCCTGAACTAATCTAGTTTTTTATGCCGTATGGCGAATTTTGATACTTTTGTGATTTATAAGCGTTTTAGTCACTTTTTTGGCCAAAGTCGAGTGCAAAATAATATAAAAATGCGAAGAAAACTATTTGGTGTTTTTTTTATATTTTTTTACAAGGCCATCTTATTCCTTGTCAAAAAATAAAAATATTTTAAACTTTTCAAAATTTTAAAAAGTGAATTATGTAAGAATACATAAAAAAAAATTTAGAAAAAAGGTTTTTTCTTAACAGCGGCCGCCCCTCGGCAGGCAATGGCAAACCTCCGAGTGTATTTCTACCATGAAAAACAGCTTCTCGTAAAAGTACAATCGCCGTTCGGAGACGGCGTAAAACTGTAAGTCCCTCCCCTTTGTGTGACAACATCAAGGCGCACACCACAAATTGGAGGAGAAGCTCCACTTGTGTGTAAGCGCCAATCTATTATTATTATTATTATGTAAGAATACAAAGACAAATTATTTATCAGAAGCATTGCCTTTTACACACTGAAAAAAGTAATAAAAACTCTCAAAAAACCAAAATCGCTACTGCGAAATAATGGTTTGAAAATCCGCATAAATTCAAATCCGCATAAAAAGGGACCTAAGTGTATTTATCTACATATGTATTCGACGGTGGCGTAAAATAACATGAAACTTACGTAAAGATGGGAAAGGGATTCCCCTGGATGTTGCATGGCAAGTGGACATCATTACCACGTTCCACATGTATTTCCATTACCGGTTTCTGAGAGGTGCGCGGTGCCAGATTTTTGCTCAACTCTGCAAAAAGAAATAATAATAAATAATAATAATATGTGTATGACATGTACATTAGGGCGGCGCAAAAATGCATATGGGCGCAAAAGTTAAGTCGGAATTTTAGTGATTTTACTTCCCAGGAAAAAGTATACCACTGTTTTTTTTTAGTGACGTGCAAATTAATAAATGATTATTATTGTTGCTATTAAAATGCGTATTAACGTCTTTCTTTTTAGGTGTAGGTTTTAATAGTAAGTGATATTTTCGATGAAATTTACAAAATTTATTTTTATAGCATCCTTCACTTTTAGAGGCATTATTTCACTTTTCCATTGTGTATTGATGTCAGTGATATTAATTCCATTGACATTATTGCACGTCACCTTATTTTTTAAATAAAAAAAGTTTTAGACCTCGCTCAAAGTGCTCAAAGTTTACCATGTCTTTTATATGAGGAAAAACTAATTTCGTAGAAATTCTCCTGAAGAGAAACAGAGTTTGCCGATAACAAAATATTGATCCTCAAGCATTCTATACCATTTGTACGAAATTAGTTTTTTCCCCCATATAAACGACATGGAGAAATTTGAACGCTTTGAACCACCTCCTTTGACTTAAAAAAAAATTGTATATTTTTCAATATAGAACAATCCTAAGTGGCGAGAGCACACAAAATCTCACTTTACTTTGTTTGGACCACCCTAATGTGGATATGTGGGTACACAAATGTGTAAGGCTAGAGAGTATATCAGTAAGCATATAAGTAAAATAGCTTTGTTATAAGTGCATACGTATGTATGTATGTACATATGTATGCATATTATTTGTGTGTACAAGTATATTCATGCTAATATTTGCTTTCTAGTTGGTAAGTTTGAATATCTTTTAGATAATTTGTGCTTTTGGAAAGGAACCTATCAAGTATGTCCGTACATATGAAAATATATTTTTGTGCACATTCTATACATACAAATTTGTCTTATCAATAATATTTTATTTGCATACCTTTCACCTGCAACATTATAGCATCGCTGCGCTGCTTCTCTCCGTTTAATGTATTAGTAACGAGGCAGGAAAATTTAACCAAACTATCTTCAGTACGCACAGAGCGTATGTAGAGGTCACCATAGGAGGAGAGCACCACATAGCGTCCAGCTGCAAAAGTGAAAATAAATAATAAGAAATTTTTAGTTTGCATACATATATGTACATATGTATGTATATGTAAATATGTACATCTTTCTTTGTTATCTTCTGCTGTATTTTAATGAGGGCAAATGTTAATAAAACTAAAAATGTCGAATTCTTGCAATAGATGTTTTATGTGATATTTTAGATTTTGAAACTAAGAAGACAAAGTGGGAAGTCATTTATTTAATATTATTGATAAAGAAAGGTCGCATTTTTTCTTAGATGAAGACTTAGACTTAACAATGCGCTCACCTAGCTTGTCGACTTTTATCTCAATGGTCCAGGTTTATTAGATATGATATTGAAGGCTGAAACAAATGCTTACCAAATTTGCAGGAATTCCAGGAAAATATACTGGGAACTGGTACTCCTGCATTCGAAGCAGGAGTGTATCGGTGCAATTCGAAGACGTCCTCAATCAGACTTCAAGGCGAGCTGCTGAAGACGTTCCCGAGTGGAACCACAACATTACAAAGCTTCGACAAAAATCTAAGAATCTCTTCAATATGACTACACTGGCGTGTGATTGTTTGACATATAAATCAGCTTTAAACATTCTGCTCAAAAGGTGAGAGCACTGTGGGGAGTATCTTCCCCGCCGTTGAACAACGCCTGTAAAAGACTCTCAGGCTGGACCACTCGAAGGAAACCACTAACCAGATCGCCCGCACTATTACCAACAAAATGACAAAAGGCCTAATGCGAAGTATTGGTAACAAAGAAATACTACTATCGACCGATTTAATATTTTATGCATACAAATCCCATGGTCCGGATGGTGTTAACCCATGGCTACTATAGCAGAGCAGAGGATCTATATCACGAATTTTAGTGAGGACATTGAGCCGACGTCTCATCACCATGGAAGGAGGTAAAGGTTGTATTCTCGACCAAAACGTTATATGTCACTTATTACCTCTGGTGCTTAATTGATCTGTTATCTGTATCTGATCGCTTGTGTCAATCTTTCATCATCATCAGCGAAAAGTAGATAGTTTTATCATTCATTTATTAGGGTGTAACGATTTGCAGATGCATTCCGGTGCAAGTTAAAGACCATCTACATAAGTGCCAAGGGTACTAATAGACATAAACCGTTTTGCAGTATCACCGACGATATCTTAAATTCAAGTAATAGAAAATTTATTGGAGTATAAAAATATTAGATATCGCTAACCCAAAAGCCGACTCACAAGAAGTGAAGCATCTTTGGGCATTTGGTACTAGAAAAACGGCTCAACAGGAAGTTACTCTCCTAATTTTTAACCATAGAGCCACAAAGAATTTAATACTAACTCTACTTTATTGGACGGTTTCCCGATTTAAACTTTTTTCCAGATACTTAGAAGAGAGTGGCCCTGTAAAAATGAGAACGTATATTCCATCGGATTCAATGGCTTTGGCGGCTTTTGCCTTGCTTATGGTTACCTGAACCTCATGGCTATAAAAAAGCAAGGGGCGCACAGTGTGATGGTAGTTTGTGAAGCCTTCCGCTCACTCGACGTTTTTCTTTGTCCACCGAAGGATGCAGCGTGAACTATCAGCTAATATAGGCGGCGCATCGCCCTGGGTATGACGAAGCACGGTCATCGAAACAGATTTCCACTCTGTCGTCACACTTTGTCGGGTTGGACAATGACCTCACGGTTGACCAAAGCTTACTCACACCAGAGTTGAAGCTGCAAGTCTTCCAATGCTCTTCTCAGTACTTGCGCTTGTGTATGTTTACCGTTTGACGAATTTCTGTGTTCAGATTCCTAATTCGGGCATTACCGGTGTCGGTCTGGAGAAGGTGGTCCCACTTGCTGGCTAGGATGGCCGCTTTTCTGGTGAACAGTTCAGACGGGTGGCCAAATTACACCCAGCGAGAATGAAGTGAGCTGCAGCAGCAATGACAACTTTGAGGAACGTCGGTTGGTATGCGAAGGGCAGAGAAGGTGCTTTCAGTAACTTCCGTGAAGTGGTTCCAATCAGCTTCGTTAAAGTTGATGTAAATTTGGTGTTCCGCGGAAGCAAAGTTAGCTGGTCTATCGATCGAAATTACTATGGGCAAATGGTTCACTGCTTACGCAGGTGAGCTCTCAGGTGTACCGTCGAGGCAGGTTCTTCTAAAACTTGAGGAGGTTCTAATGTAACTCCACCCGTTGCAGGTATTGCCCCTGACTGAGGGGAGTTTGGGTTTAATCGCCCCTGGCATACGTAGCAGGCGTAGGTTTCTGGTCCAGGCTTGACTCGATGCTATCCCTGAGCAGAATAATGTGGAGCAGATGTTGCCTCATAGACGAACAATATTTAAAAGATTTCGCCGACCTAAACATGGTTAGATCGCCGGTGGTTGGATGAAACCCGAGTCATTCCGGTACGGAGAACCGTCTGTCGTTGGAATGTTTTCAAGATCTTCGGGATCATTGGTATCTAACACTGACATGAAAGAGAACTAGTTAATTAAAATCATATATAAACTATTTTANCTCGGTTGGTATGCGAAGGGCAGAGAAGGTGCTTTCAGTAACTTCCGTGAAGTGGTTCCAATCAGCTTCTTTAAAGTTGATGTAAATTTGGTGTTCCGCGGAAGCAAAGTCAGCAGGTATATCGATCAAAATTAATATGGGCAAATGGTTCACTGCTTACGCAGGTGAGCTCTCAGGTGTACCGTCGAGGCAGGTTCTTCTAAAACTTGAGGAGGTTCTAAAGTAACTCCACCCGTTGCAGGTATTGCCCCTGACTGAGGGGAGTTTGGGTGTAATCGCCCCTGGCATACGTAGCAGGCGTAGGCTTCTGGTCCAGGTTTGACTCGATGCTATCCCTGAGCAGAATAATGTGGAGCCGATGTTGCCTCATAGACGAACAACATTTAGAAGATTTCGCCGACCTAAACATAATTAGATCGCCGAACCAAAAGCCGGTGGTCGGATGAAACCCGATTTATTCCGGTACGGAGAACCGTCTGTCGTTGGAATGTTTTCAAGATCTTCGGGATCTTTGGTATCTAATACTGACATGAAAGAGAACTAGTTAATTAAAATCATATATAAACTATTTTAACTCATTCATCCATGTTTCAAATTCTACCTGCCTGGATTTTAAACTACCTGTTATTGGTTCAATTTTACAATTAAATCATTCTTATGTAGTCTTGTGCATCTGTACATGCATGCATGAAATAAATCTGATGTTCATTTACACCGTTGAGCAGCGTTGATGTTGATGGTAAAATCAGCAGAACACAAGCAACAATAACAACCTGAAAATGATAAACACGAAAGAGACACCGAATTGGGGTCCAACGACATTTGTCGATGTATGCAAATGCATGCACACACATATGAACTATGTTTGTCCTTCTGTGATTGCGAGTATTCCCACAACAGTAAAACATTTCCCAATAAATGTCAACTGCAACACATTTCCGCCTCAATACACCATAAAGCGAGGGTACGAGTGACATTTCATGGACACCACTAGTCATCGATGCACAGTTACGGTATAAGTTGCACACGGCTGCTCAAAGAGATACAAACCAGAGCCAACATTTGCCGATTTTGCAATTGCCGCAAGAGCTGAGCAGAGGGCGGGACGGATCAGGGTGGGCGGGTAAGGTAGGAACAGTAGGCCATTCGAGTATGCACCGGAAGAATTTTTCAACTTAAATTTTGCACAACGGATAAGCAGGCGCGCAGAGAATACAAAAAGGCACCGACATATACATATGTATGTATGTATGTGTACATATATTTGAATACAAAAGTTTACAATTCTGTAAGAGCACGCCCATGTAACTAAAAATGGCATAGACAGGAACATTTTTTTTTTTTGTATATTTATGCGATATATGATTCTGCGAAACCATTGATAATTTATGACTAAAATTTATGGGCTTAAATAGATTTTGGCAAAATACAAATTGCACTACAGTGAAAATTTGATGCCTTACGAAATTTAGTACAAAAGGAAATACATATGTAAAGCTTTTTGTTGGCAGATGTGATGATAATTTAACTGCAAATTGATGAGTAGAGACAAGTCAATCTTCCAGGCGAGTATGCTTATTTCTGTTGTGGATGCCACAGACCGCTTCACCTCTAGTCGATTTCGGTTAAGTATAAAGAAGTATCTTTATCTC